ATTGGAATATTGAAAACTCTTATTGAATCAGAAGAATTACTTGATAATTATTTGATTAAATCAATTGATTCTCAATTATATCTTTGGTGGTAGAATTTCATTCTATTTTGGAGTATATATTATTTTCCAATTAAAATACATACTAATCCTAATTCCATCAAAATTTTCAATTCTACTAGAAAATTTCTTTTATCTTTACTTCTTCCTTATACAAGGTGTGTGGATGCGAATAAAAAGAAGATTCACACTGGCACCATATCTTATTAAAGATTAAGTTCAAGACAAAGATTATATTTTAAACGTTGAATTTTATCTTGAAGATGTGAGATGTGGATAAATGTCTCTTCTCTTTGCTCACACCAATACTCACACCTTCAAATTGTGAAGCCTATGTCCTAACAATCAATTCATGTTGATCTCGCCATAGTTACCATTGAGAACAGTATTTCCTCAACAGTTCTGCTCGAATTTAAAATTGATTTCACAAAAGTAAGAATCATCATTCAATGAAAGCCAATGTGAATTGTACTGAAAATCATAGAAGGATTTGCATATGTCATATTGACTTGAAATTTTTTGAGCATAATGTGATCATATTCAATGAACTGTTGCCATATACTTGAATGAAATAGAACTTGATCATCATGATAATCTGTAGTATTTAATGTACATTGTTTTAAACAGGACATTGTCTGACAGAATCGAATAATATCTTAAATAGGAATTTTTTTCTCATGAAAGAAACAAATATTGAACTGTTGAAAACATCGAAGTTCGAGAATAGATCTTGATGAAGATTGATAAAATCGAATAGCAATTGTGAGAATGATCGTAAAAGACGTTGCATGTCGAGTGATACGACTTGTATAGGATCAATCTCAGTAATAATTCAATTACGTATACAAAGTCGAACTTTGAAATTTACCAACAATAATGTTAGATATGGAATAACTTCATGAAATGAATAATAAATTTCATTTATTGTGAAGAATTCAAAAATATTCAACAATACGTTGTGTTGTCTGATATTTGTGATGTCGTTTCAATCGATTGAGAGATTATTTAATGTTTTTGCCTCGTGTAAGTTTTTCTTCCGTGCAAAAAACGAATCATATGTTTTTCTTTCTGTTCTGTTTACCGTCATGTAAGTAGGAGAGTTCGTATGAGGCAAGGAGTGAAGAAGGCCAGACGGAAGACGTCAATAAAAAGAGGAGAATTAGTCATGATTGATATTGATGCATAGTTACAACATAATGACTCATAGAATCAATACCAAATTGGGTGCTCTGTATAATACGACATATCTAACCATTTTTTTCGAAGAATTAGACTATTAACTAACTACGTCCTAATAGAATGTCTCTTAGGAATGATCAACAAACTCTGACGGAGACTCAATTAGAACTCGACAGAGACAAAGGATCGTCCAAAACCACACCAACACACCCATACAAACACAGCCTGTACTTTCGTGACGGCAATGATCCAAACAATTGAGCGCTTTTAGAAAGTTTGATCAAAACTTTTAAATTTGTAGATAATAAAACCACTCTCAGATCGATTGAAGATTTCGCTTTTTTTTAAGTTTCAAAATAATTAAAATGAAAACAACATAAAAAGTTAGCCTTTACTTTCTTAAACAGCTGGTATTACCAGCTAATAGTGAATGATGAATTGCATGAATTATTAAACGATGAATCGATAGGATTTTTTTCCTAGAAACATGTACACAAGTATTGATAGAATTCTCAACATAATGAAATTTGTTATGTTAACTCTTCAATTTTATGTTTCTGATGCTGATCAAAATGTCATTCTTCTCTATACATATAGACAAAGGAAGAATGCCAATTATAGTAGACTTTAGTTATTTATAAGAGAGTCATGTTTCGTACTCATTCGTACAAAATGTTATACATTTTCTACAAATTATCGATTTATTGATAAGCGACATTCGGAGCTTTGCATCGCATTTTACAGTCAAGTGAAACCCGAATACTATCTAGAGCGTCTTTACACCTACATTCGACTATATGTGCACGTCTATCCCGTCAGTCTAGGGTTAGATGGATTGGGTATGGGTTTTAGTCTTAACTACACCGACATTCACACCCATACCTTCTACTAAAATCAGAATTTTGCAAAACTGTTCAAAAATTTAACTTTCCAATGCTTTTGATAAACTATGCTTTAAAATCTTCGGATGAACTTTGTTCTATTCTCCAAAGTATTCATGCAAGTTACGTTTTTGTTCCATTCAATTCAAATTTAGAAAAAAAACAGAAGCTGGACTTTATCCATAAATGTACAGGATCTATTCATGTGTATCAATGTATATCGAAAAAAAAATTTTAAGAACCATTTCCTGCAAGAAAATTTCTTTGCTTTAAAAAATTTCAGAGAAAAAAGCGCAAGTTTTGTACATAGTTGCTATCCTTTATTTATTGATATTAAGTAACAAAAGAGAGTTTATTACGTTTTAAAACTTAAACTATTTCGCTCGAAAATAGCATCTAAGAGCTTCTCTTTCAAAAAGTCGATTTTCGTCAAAAAAAAATGATTTTTAAGATAACTATATGAGCATGTCGTCTGAAATATCTACTTTACAAATATAAATATATTATTGAATGTCGAAAATTTTTAAGAAATTTTTAAAAAGATTCTAGAGCTGACTGGAATAATCATTACATGTTACGTTGTGTAATCATTAGAATACACATCACTACAATTTTAATAACTGGCGCCATCGATCATTAGTTACCTCACGATAAGTACAGTTCGATACATTGCGATGAGCATTTACCATTGATATATAATGTTTATGTTTTTAGCTCGATTTAGAATGATATTCAAGAGAAAACTTCTTTAGTATGTTTTTCAAATATAGCTCATTATAGAGAGCTGCGATTTGTTTTGTCTATTGAAGCACTTGATGCTTCTTCGAATGAGCGAAAGAAGTGTTTTAAATAGCCTCTAGTTCTGTAGACAATCTCTAATGATTTTAGAGGTTTTAATATCTCCAAAAATTAAAGAGAGCAGCAATAAAAATTTGCTTCTCCTCATCTGAATGGACAGACAGTTCTACAGCTTGAAGTATAGTGAAAAAAATAGTTGTACAGACCGAAAATCCATTTTACATTTTGATCTCTCAAAAACTTCTAAACGGTGATTTTTATAGAGGTAAAAATAAAAGTCGTAAGTTTACTTTTATGCGCTGAAAATTTGTGGAAATTTTCAGAGAGATTCCGTACATTGTATCGAAAATCAATTTTGGAGCCGGAGAAGCCTTAAAAAGATAAATCGCCTTCTTTTTGTTTGATTTTTAAAATAGAAGAAATTTTTCATTTGAATAATGTCTTCCTACGTGTTTACCTCTCATAAAAAATATTTGACTATCTTTATGATCCGATTTTGTTGACAGATCAACATAGTTTTATCAACTCAAAAGGATTAAATTACTAATGTGTTAATTAAATATTTTTGAATATCCAATAATAAACTGACGTATGATGCAACCGATTCCATTACAAATTTCAATCGATTTTATACGCATTAACAGACCGAATTTTTTTTGCAAAAATCGATTAGCATATAGTTCTGCGGAGAGAAATAATTGAACTTCTTATAGGTCTTTTTAAATTTCTCAAATGATCAATCTTCTTTCTAATTTATTATACAGTTGCCACAAAAATTCTTCATACGATTTTGATAATGGTGATATTTTTCTGTTCTTTATAATTTCAAAAACTTTAATAGATGTATAAAAGAACAAGTTACACATTCGTACTATTTTCTTCATAATTCAATTCTATTGAATGAGCAGAGTTAGTTGTTTTAAAAAGAGTGAATCTTTATCAGGAAGTGACAGAGTGAAATTTTTTTTTTCCAAAAATATTATTTCAAATGTCTGTAATAATTTATAGTAAAGATGTTTGGGAGATAATTTCAATGATAAAACTTTATTTTCAGATAACAATCTCAAAATAAAGATTCGTTCCTTTTTGAATAATTAATACTCTGCTTATTCAATAGAATTGAATTATGAAGAAAATAGTACAAATGCGTAACTTATTCTTACCTGCATCTAATGAATTTATAATTAAATTTTTTGAAATGATAAAGAACAAAAAAAGTTACCGTTATCGAAATTGTACGAATAATTTTTACGGCAACTGGAAATCGATAGAAAAAATCAAGTAATCGAATCGTGCAAAGAATTGACGATTTTTGCTCATTAAAGGTGAATTTGTTTTAAATAAAATTATATAAAAATCAAGAGTTTCAGAATAATCATTTAGGAATACATTTTGAAAGTCTGTTTTCCAAAGAAATCAAGAAAATTATCTAAATTAACATGATGTTTCTTATTCAAATGTTGACAAATGACTTGTAGTAAACTAATCATTTTATAGAGCAATGTTTACTCTTTCATTCGCTGTATTATGAAATAATTTTTCACTTCTATTTTGAATACGTTTTTACAAAAATTTTGAAGTCATATTCGTGACGAACTGATTCTAAATCAATATTTTCAAATTTCTATAGGCTCGTTTAAGAGATCACAAATAAAAAATGAACGAATAGTTTGTCAAATTAATTTTCGATAATCTCCTATAAATTAGAGTTAAACTCATAACTCATTTTAATCTAGATATTCCACCGTCTATCGTTTTAATATATTTCATATTTTTTAAAGTATGATGCCACCAGATGGCGCATAATATAGGACACTATGGATTATACTAATTTGAAGTGAATTTCCAGTAATATTAATAAATATTTTTCGTAAATGAATAATTATTTATAAATTAAGTTTTCTAAACCTAAAAATATATTTTATTTTTAAATGGTAAAATATACTTACGAGTTTCAACGAATTATGTACCAAGTATGATTCACATAAACGAACTTTCTTACGTAGAAAAAAAAAGAGGGCAGTTTTTTTCTCCTGCGTGTGTGCCTGACGTAGTCGTTGTTGACTTAGTTGAAATTAAAACAAGATGAGTTTGTTGTCGAGAATTTCTTCGAAAAATCTTTGTCCAAGTTTCAATGTATTACGATCGAATGTAAATTTTTATTAATTATGAAAATATTAAATTCAAACTTTTTTTTATTTAGATTTTATCACGTACATTAGCAGTTCAAACATCTCAGACACGTAACACTGATGCAAAACATACAACGGGTGGTCGTGTATGATTTCAAAAATTTTGAGTTATCTTCTATTATTTTTTTTAATATTAGGTTGCTTCAAATTATAAAATTATTGATCATAATTATGATGCTGTAGTAGTTGGTGCTGGTGGTGCTGGTCTTCGTGCTGCTTATGGTTTATCAATAGCTGGTTTTAAAACAGCTGTTATTAGTAAATTATTTCCAACACGTAGTCATACTGTTGCTGCTCAAGTTCGTCATAAAAAATTTTTCATTATTCAAATGAAGAATAAAGAATTTTCTTTTTCTTTTTTGTAAATTTAAGGGTGGTATTAATGCAGCTTTAGGAAATATGGAACGTGATGATTGGCGATGGCATATGTATGATACAGTTAAAGGTTCGGATTGGCTTGGTGATCAAGATGCTATACATTATATGGCTGAAGAAGCACCACGTGCTGTTGTTGAAGTATATATTTATAATGACGAAATAAAACTATTCTTTTATTTGATTCCTTTAGCTTGAAAATATTGGTATGCCATTTAGTCGTACACCTGATGGAAAAATTTTACAACGTGCTTTTGGTGGTCAATCATATGATTATGGTCGAGGTGGTCAAGCACGTCGTTGTTGTTGTGTTGCTGATCGTACAGGTCATGCTATGTTACATACACTCTATGGTCAAGTAAATATTTTTGAATTTGAACTTCAACTATAATCTACTGTTTTGGTATCATGATAAGACTTGATTTGAGTAATTTCCACATGAGCATTGATCAAAATTGTCATGTCTTCGAGTAATTTTAATCATTTGCATTAAGATCGATTGACTTTGAGTTATTGCGTGCAATCAAGATTTATCGTATTCTATTTATAATCAAAATATCAAGTAGGTTTTACTCGTTAGCAAAACTTCTTGTAACTACTGTAGATCTAACGATTCTTAGAATATTTTGAAAATTTCAGTCGAAACGAATATTTTCTTTATCGAGATAAACTATTTGAAGTTTTATCTAGTTGTATTCAAATTTCCTTATAAATCAAATATGATCTTAAACAGTAGTTTACAGTTGCGACAGTTCTTTTATTAGAAAAAAAAAAGATTTAGATATAAAGTTTTTCTTTCTTTTGTTTTTTGTGCTTTAGTCGCTGAAATATAATACAGATTATTTTATTGAATATTTTGCACTTGATTTATTTATGAATAAAGATAATACAGAATGTATTGGTGTTATTGCAATGAATCTTGAAGATGGTAGTCTTCATCGATTTCGAGCTAATAATACAGTTTTAGCTACTGGGTATGAATATAATTTATTTTGAATATTTTTTGAATTTTCTATTAATATAGTGGTTATGGTCGTGCATATTTTTCATGTACATCAGCTCATACATGCACAGGTGATGGAAATGCAATGGCTACTCGTGCTGGTCTTAAAAATCAAGATTTAGAATTTGTTCAATTTCATCCAACTGGTAAATGAATTTTTAAATTATTTAATTTTTTTTTTTTTGGAAAAAAAAATATTTGTTTTGTAGGTATTTATGGTGCAGGTTGTCTTATGACAGAAGGTTGTCGTGGTGAAGGTGGTTTTCTTATTAATGGTAAAGGTGAACGTTTTATGGAACGTTATGCACCAGTTGCTAAAGATCTTGCTTCACGTGATGTTGTTTCACGAGCTATGACTATTGAAATTCGTGAAGGACGGTTCGTGATTTTTTTGTTTTGTTTTTTTGCTATCTTAAATATTTAATCATAATATCTATTTAATAGTGGTGTTGGTAAAGATAATGATCATATTTATCTACAATTAAGTCATTTAGATCCAAAATTATTACATGAACGTTTACCAGGTATAAGTGAAACAGCAATGATTTTTTCAGGTGTTGATGTAACAAAACAACCAATACCTGTTTTACCAACTGTTCATTATAATATGGGTGGTGTACCAACAAATTATAAAGGTCAAGTTATACAAGAAAAAAATGGAAAAGATTTTGTTATAAAAGGTTTATATGGAGCTGGTGAAGCAGCATGTGCTAGTGTTCATGGTGCTAATCGTCTTGGAGCAAATTCTTTATTAGATCTTGTCGTTTTTGGACGTGCATGTGCTAATACAATAGCATCTGAAAATAAACCAGGAGAAAAATTTGCTGAACTTCCAACAGTTTGTTAAGAATATTTATAATGATAATATTTTGAAAATTTTTTTGATATTTAGAATGCTGGTGAAGCTTCAATTGCTAATTTAGATAAAATTCGAAATGCCAATGGATCAATTTCAACAGCAGATCTTCGATTAAAAATGCAAAAGGTTCATTTGAATTTTCTTGAAAAGAATTTTTTTTTCTGTAACTCTCATTCACAATAGACAATTGGTCATAGATCAGACGGACATGTTAGTTTCTTTTTTTAAACTGATCAAGACTTTACGTTTCGTAATAGAAATTTATTTCTAGAGAAACTTTAACTCATTTCTCAAATGCTATTTAGAAATTATGACCGGAGAGACATTCTATGAAAGTTCATTATACTGAATACATATCTTGGAATCTCAAACCGACGTAAGCGAAAGTCATTGTTTTCTTTTTTGTGAATCCATAGAGTAGAAAAACACAATTTCAGATTATATATGATTTTCGCAGGGATGTTTTGTCCTTATGCTTTTAATTCACAGAAAAAAAAAGTCTCGTAATCTTTATTAGCGATGTTTTCTGACTAATGCTCATAAGAATAATAAAAACTTTTATGCCATTAAATAACCCATAGGTCAGAGAATATGTCATCCTACTTAAAGGTACCCCCGATAGCTTAAATGCAACGAGAATTATGATAGACGACGTCTATTTTTGCTTTAGACTTTTTAACCTAAAAAAGCTGTTTATTAAATTTAGCATTACCTTTTATCAAATACATGACATCACGAAGTTTTTCGGGAGATCGAAATTTCGGTCCGGACCTTGCTTAAATTGACCGCTATAAAAAGCCTTATCCCTTTAATTAGTTTCTACATCTTGTAGTCCTCAGCATTACGGAATGTAGGAACTAATCAAAGAAATAAGACTTTTTATAGGGGTCAATTTAAGCGCGAGCCGAAATTTCTGTAACGCAATTTTTCGTTCCTCAAATAATGACAGTAAAATGGCCAGCATTCTTGCAAGAGTTGATAGGCTTCGCTAAAATTAATAGCGTGGATAACTGGAACATAGTCGTAAATAATGAGAGATCGACTTTATTTTCGGAAGTATAAAACTCAAAGAAAAAAAAAAGTACCCTGTTGTATTTAAGCAATCGAGGGCAAGTTGGTGGCTCTGACCTACATTCTTGGTAGATTATGTGCATAGAAATTTTTAGACTTCTAGCACCTATGGTAACTGAGATCAGATAGGAGGAAGACTTTTATCCACTACTGAATACATTTTGAGATCGAAAATTTGTCTCTAAACATTAAAAAATCAAATTTACATAACGAATACATCGAACCATGTTTTTCTCCCGTCAACTTTTTCATGAAAAAAGTGCAGAAACTGTCCACAGTGTCTCCTGTCCGTCACAGACCACTATATCAAAAGAATAATGAAAACATGTGTTTCAAAATAGATAGAATAAAACAATATCCGTATGATTAACAAACGACAGCTACATCATGTTAATCTTTCAGAGATTGTGATAGCATCTTTTATTTTTTTTTGTCTATAGACTATGCAAATACATGCTGCTGTATTTCGTGATGGTGAAACATTAAAAAAAGGTTGTAAATTAATGGATGATGTATTCCAAGAACAAAAAAATCTTAAACTAACAGATCGTGGTATTATTTGGAATACAGATTTAATTGAAACACTTGAATTACAAAATTTATTACTTAATGCCATGCAGACAATATATGGTGCTGAAGCACGAAAAGAAAGTCGTGGTGCACATGCAAGAGAAGATTTTCCAGTATAAGAAAAATTAATTTTTCTATTTTATTCAAAGAAAATTTTATTTTATTTTTCTTTATTTAGCAACGTGTTGATGAATATGATTATACAAATGCAGAAAAAAATCCAATTGCTAATCAGAAAAAGAAACCATTTGATCAACATTGGCGTAGACATACTTTATCATATACAGATCCGGAAACTGGAAAAGTAAAAATTATTGAAATAAATAAATTTTATTAATGTTTTTTTTTGTTTTTTTTCTTAGACAACATTATCATATCGAGCTGTTATTGATACTACCTTAGACCAAAATCGTTGTGCATCAGTACCACCAAAACCACGTGTTTATTAAAGAAAAAAAAAAGCAATGATATGAGATCTGCCAACATAGAACATGAACATTAGATTATTTTCCCAACATTAATTTTCTCTGTCAATATTTTTTTTTCTTTCCATTTTCAAGAAAATACATTATAAATTTAGTTTATCGTATATATCATATTCGTTATTCTTATTTTATTGTGTAAACTGATATAGATCAGAAATAAAACATGGTATTACCGGACAATTAATTATCTCAAAATATTACTTGCACAATTTTTTTTTTCATATAATTGAATATAAAGTAAATTAATAAATTCGAAAATTCAAATGTCTTGTGTAAAATGAAAATTTGATATGAAACTTTTGAATGACTTTAGACTTTCCTCACAATAGTTTTTTCACTTAGAATGATTCATTTGAGCTGAAATTTTAAAGAATACGTCCGTAGTTTTTGTCTGAATAGAATTTTGAAATTCGTTTCTATTCAGACTTTTTTTTATGATCATTTTAGTACATATGGGGTTAACAGAAATCAACTATAAAAAATTCGATCAGGCAAAAGTTTACTCTTATTTAGACCTTAAAAAAAGAATATTGTTCATATCTTGAGTCGGGGTGGAAAGTATTTCAATTTTTCTGATTGAAAATCAGATTCTGAGAAAAATAGTAAATAAGTTTAAATGTAATTCTTCTAGAAAAAAAACAAACATTTATAATATATTTAAGTGAAATTTTTAAAATCACGTAACAATTGCCGTAAGCTAGCATCGTCTGTCTTGCTTAAATTATATAAGAATGTTTATTCACAAGTATAAAAGGTGGTCTTCTCAAACCTAAAGTCATATATATTCCGAGAGAGAGAGAGAAAACTTCGAATTTTCTTTTTCAAAAAATCGATTTTCTCACGAAGAGGTCTTAATATGATGAATGAATCGAGAAAAAAGAAATTATCAAAATAAAACTTATTCAATGTTAAGACAAATAAGTGATAATTAGAAAAATCGCCTATTATATTTATAATATGGCACACATACAATAAAAAGAAATGGATATAAGTATTACAGTGCTGGATTTAACCCTTTACAGCCGGATGTATCCGTTTGGAAACATGAAACCAATGTTTTACGAAGAAGTAACTTGTAGTGATGATGTGAAATGTTTTGACGATTTGATAAATAAGTTAACACATTCACGTGTTTAGAAGAAGGAAATAACACTCACCAAGAAAATGGCCGGCTCTATTCAAAATGCTCCAAAATAGCGTCCGTATAGAAATAATCCTTTTCTCGTGTCTCTAAATAATCAAACTTCGAAGCAAGCAGTTGTTAATTTTCCTTCATAGACCTACTGTCTATTGGATCACTAAGACGGATTATTTAAAAAATCCGAATAATAAAAAATGGGAATGTATCCAGTTGGATACATCCGACCACTAAGGGACAAAAATTTTGAAAAAGCCATTTCTTTTTGTCCAGCAAAATTTGATATTTTATGGTTTTTCTTACATCTATATTTGTAGATGAAATCACACGTTGCGTGTTTGTCGATGTTTTGCAGTCCAAAGCTTAAATATTTCTAGAATGTTCTAAGATTCTGCAGTACAGTGCAATAGTAACTCAATCTTTTTCGAAAATTTCTATAAATTCAGGAATATTGTAGAGAGTTGCTGAATATTTCGTGATAGCCTAGTTTGGAACACTAGAAAATGTTCAGAAACTCTTTAGAATGTTTCTGAATTTCTAAAACTTTTCGGAAAAAATTTAGCTACTATTGCACTGTACTGCAGAATCTTAGAACATTCTAGAAATATTTAAGCTTTGGACTGCAAAACATCGACAAACAGGCAACGTGTGATTTCATCTACAAATATAGATGTAAGAAAAACCATAAAATATCAAATTTTGCTGGACAAAAAGAAATGGCTTTTTCAAAATTTTTGTCCCTTATTGGTCGGATGTATCCAAATGGATACATGAAGCCATTAAATGCCGAAGCACTTATTGGTCCTGAGAAATAAACTTTTCCTATCTCCATGGTCTAGGAGCAACGAAAATCCATAAAAAGACTTTTTTGTTACTTGTCTTCTAGTAGCCGGCTGGAAAGGGTTAAGACAATAGGTTTTGGAGTTTCGTTTGAAAATTTTTGACTTTTCTTCAACAAGACAATGATAAATAGCTTCATGATAATTGATGAAGGAATGTTTCGTATTATTAAGTCGCTTGAGACTATTGCCATTTGTTCAGTTTTGATGAATAGTGAAAAAGTCTGTTTTGTTTTACGCGATTTTTGTCCTATGAATATATAGGATCACTGAGAACTTGGATGATCGAATTTTGTTCATAGATATGTCTTATAATCAGTAGAAACTCTTCTAAGTTTGAGTCAGAACTAATACGTCCTTGCTAAGATAGCCTGATTTGAACTATGTTTAAAAAGAGGAACTATGAGACATATCTATGGATATGATTTCATTATTTTTGTATTATTCATTAAGATCAATCGAATGGCAATAGTGTCAAGTGAAAAACAATTTGACAGCTACGAGCGTTTTTCTCTTCTACTTATCACAACAGTTACACTCATTATTAATACACAGATATGGTTCAACTAAAAGAAGAACTTCAGAACATTCGATTCTAAAAATCGTTCTTTAGTTTAATTTTTGGATATTTTACTGCTTAAGAGTTTTATCAAATGAAATTCTCAACTCATGAAAGAATTACCTGAAGTATATCAGTACTTTTGACTGAAGCTATACGCGATTTCAATGCTATACCTTCTATGGAAGAGATATTATATGCAACGGAGATATAATTTTATGTCTCGAAAAACGTTTTTCATATTACTTTCGTCTTTTTCTAGTTAATATTTTCTATTTTGAATAAAATTTACTTATATAGATAAAATTTTTTTCTCAATATTCCGTTTACTTATTTTAGTTTCAAAATAGAAGGCCATATATGATCAGTCATGTGGAATTATTTCTTTTGTCTAGTATCAAACATTTGATAGATTACTATGTTTATGTTTAACATCTTGCATGTCAATCATAATTCTTTGAATAACGAAGCCTTTAAAACGAAATTTTCCTTATCAATACCATACGATATATTAATAAATTCATTTTTATTCGAAAAACAACTATTCTCATCACAATAGAAGTATACAGAATAATCAATCTATTATAATCTTTATTTAATTAATTTTAACGATTCTTCAGACATAAATAAAATACAATAAGACTACTAAATAGTCTTATTATTAAAAAAAAAGTAATAACATTCTTTCTTTAATAAAAATAAGAAAGAATAATACAATGTCAAGTCTATTAAAATTATTAAACAATAATGCATATTCTAAAATGGAATTGATTCAGTTGTTAAGCCATATTGTGTAAAATGAGTTGATAGATCATTTCTACTAGCTAATAAATAAAAATAAACAATAAATTTAATATAACAAAAAAAAAACAAATTTCATACTTAAATAAAATGGATTATTATGATCAATTTGTCGTTCAGTTTTTTCATCATAATTTATTTTTGATAATGACCCATTAACAAGATTTTCATAGGGTGGAACATAATTATCATTTATTTCATTATAGATTTGGTGTTGTTGTTGTTGTTGTTGTAATGAAGTATTGTAATTATAATTTTGTTCATCAATATCTAATGATGCTTGTTGTTGTTGTTCATTAGTGAATATATGTTGAGGTGGAGACTATATAGTCACAAAAATTTATGATTAATATTAAATAACAAAACAGTTACATACAAGATCTTCAGTAATACCAAGTTGTTTGATTCGTTCTAATAATTGTTCAGTTTGAAGTAATGAATCTCTATAAGTTGTTAAATAGTTATGTGGATCTTCAGGTTTAATACCTAATCGTTCAACATTACGAATAATTCGAGTTTGTACTGGCTCGTATCTTAAATATTTAAAATACAAAAAAAAAAATAATAATAATAAAGTTTTATATATAGTACACTATAATAATATTTTTTGGTGGAGGATAAGGTTTAGGTTCTTCAGCTCGTTGAACAATAACTTTACGTTTTTGTATATTTTCATAAGGTATCCATCGTTCAATGATAACATCACGTGGTTTAGGTGGTAATGGAGGAATTTTTTCAAGGATTACTGGTCGTGGTGGTGGTGGAAGTGGAGAAAGAGTTTTTATTACAACTTGTGCTAAATGAAGAAAAATGAGATTTTGTTTTTGGAAAATCTAATAAAATTTGTACTAACGAGTTGTACTATCAGGTTTTGGTGGAGGTTTTTCACGAAGAATAATTGGTGATGGTGAACGTGGAGGTTGAGCTTTTTGACGAATAATCTATATAGAACATAAATATTTATTATTAAATAGAAAAGAAATTGAAAACTTACAATAGGTGATAATGGTGGAGGTTGAGGTGGTCGAATTTCACGAATGATTATAGGTCCTTGTTGTACAGGTGGTGGTTGTAAAAATCGTACAATAACTTTTTGATTATAAACAACTGGAGTTATCATAGAAGGTTTTCGTATAATTTGTGGATTTGGATCATTATATAAATGTTTTGTACGAATAATTGTTTCATAATCCATATCAGAATTAATTTCTTCAAATGATAAATTTTTATTATATTGATATATATCATCATTTTTTTGTATATCAAGATTTATATTTTTATTCGTTATTAAATCTAATTGTGATATATCTTGATATGAATGATCTATTTGTGATGGTTTATCTAATAATTGTTCCCAATTTTGAATATTATCATTTGTATTTATATGATGATAATTATAATCTTCATTATAATTATTAGATATTGTTTGAAGATTAAAATCTGTTGTTGGATATGTTTCTGAATATTGATATTCTTCATCAACATTAAATGATTGAGTATTATCATGATTTGATAATTGTGAATATTCATAAGATTGATCCATTATTGAATGAATTCTAGGAGATAGTTGATCGTTTTCGTTTGAATGTAATGTCATATTTCCTTGTCGATGAAAATATTTATTTTCATCAAGTGAAGTAACTGTATGCATCTACTCGTGTCGATTCTTTCGATAGATATTAGTTCTCTCTCGCGCTCAATATGAATCGAGTCGATCGGAGACGACAATTTAGTAATTATTGGTCAACGATGACAAGTTACTTTAATTGAGTACGTGTCATTGAAAATTCTTCTCCTTCTTCTTTTTTTTGCTTCGTATGTCATTATTATTTCTTTTCGTTTTCTTATTACATATTTATAAATTGAAAGTGAAAAAGTTATATTACATGAATAACAAAAAGATGAAACTGTTGATGATCGTTCATGTGTAACATATAAGATATTATTCTCCTTGACATTACTATTTTTATACAATAAACTAGTGTTCTATTTCGTAGACAATATCAAGGAAAATATCAATAAAAAATATATATCATTACAAAATGTCTCTTGGTAATTATTTGTATCGTTATCAATTATGTTTAGAAATTAGAAATACTTTTCTTTTCTTTTTTTTTAATTTTAGACTAATCAAAACAAGGTTAAATCATATATATATATTCTATATATATATATATATTGGAAATAAACCCACACCCAATATCTTTCATTTTCTAAGAAGGAATAATAAAGAAACTCAAACTAAAATCTATAAAATATTTTTAAACACTAATCAAACGCAAGTTTTAAAATTTGAACACATTCTTGTTGATGAACTTCACCAATAGCCACTGCTGGTGTACCAAGTACATCTCGTCCAGCATATTTGAGCTAAAATAATGAATAAATACATTTTTTATTTATTCGTGAACTCTACCGAATATATAAAATGATCACTAGAATTCTACAAATATTTCGCATGTGTAAATCTACTGATTACTTAAAGTAAAGTTTAATTTTTTTTTTGTTATCTATCATTTACTATTCTCAGATACTTATAGTGGAATTTTTGATATATAGAAAACAACAAATTTTGTTTTTTTTTTACTTTATACTTTAGGATAGAAAACTCTAGAAAATCTGACATTTTCATAATAAACTAGTCTCATTCCGAACTTGCTTTGTATAAAGTTTGAACTCAATAGTTATTTATAAAGGTGATTACAGCATTTTATTGAAAAATTGATGAAGCAGTTCGTAACCGAAAGCGAAAAATCTATACATGCAAATCCTTCGAGTCAATAGAGTTCAATTAATAAAGTAAGACTAGATATACACCAGTCCCAATCGGACTGATATCCATAAAGATTAATAGTTCATTCAACGAGTAATCTATCGGAATGGTACTCAGCTGACCTAAACACCTTGCCAGGCAAGAAAGATAAGACTCATTACAAAAATGATTTATCCATTTGTGAGTTTCTCTTGTCAGTCATGTACTCTCTTCAATATCCTAGGTAAAATCAAACAGTATGAAATACGGAAAGAATATCTCAAGAATCAATTCTATCGTTCTAAATGATTAATTTATTCTCTTTGAATTATCAGAATTAAACTTTTCTTTTTTTTCACAAAAGATAAATTTTATGAAACACAATCTAAAAGAAATGTCAAAAAATTTGAACTCATTCCATTTCTCCCTGTACTCCACAGACCATGACGAATACCCAGACAAACTATTACAGACCGTAACAAACATAATTGATGTACGATCAAAGAATGTCTCATTATATACATATGAACTGTTTCCTTATTGTATCTCCGTAGTATTACGTAAATAGATAATGAAGAAATGTGTTCCGAAATAGAATAAAGCAATCTCCTATGATTAAGCAATAGTAGCTACATCCTTTAATCTCATATGAATTGTGTTAATAGTTTTTTCTTCACTGAGAATATTTTATTTTTTTATCTTTTCTTTATAGTAAAAAATTTTTATTAATAAATATAAACATACATGAATTCCAATAATATTTTCAAACCTTGGTTTAACAAAAAACCAAGCACCTTGATTTCGATGTTCTTCTTGACACCAAATAAATTCTTTAATATTTTTATATTTTTTAATTTCTTCACGAATTTCATCAACTGGAAATGGACATAATTCTTCTAAACGAATTATACCAATATCATCTCGTTTTCGTTTATTACGTTCTTCATTTAATGTATAATAATGTTTTCCACTTGTAAATAAAAGACGTTTAACTTTTTCAGGATTTAATTTCGTCTAGAAATTAACAAAAAAAAAAAAAAAGCTTTTATTTTTAATAAAAAACAAAAAAAGAATTTTAAATATACATTAGACATATTATCACTTAATACAGGTAAGAAACGAGTACCATCAGCCATATCTTTTAATGAAGAAATACATTCTGGATGACGAAGTAAAATTTTTGGTCCAGCAACAATCAATGGTTTACGAAAATTTCGTATCATCTACGATAAACAAGAAAAAAAAAAGAATTATTTTCTTTTTCTTTTTTTTAAATCTTCTTACTTGACGTCGTAAAACATGAAAATATTGTGCAGGTGTTGTTGGATTAACAATTTGCATATTTATATCATCACCATCAATACCATCTTCTTTACTATCAGTCATCTAAATAATATTGAAATTTATTTTTAAATATTAGAAAAAACAAACAAACAAGTCTACTATCAACCTGTAAGAATCTTTCTATATGACAACTACTATGTTCCGGTCCAGCACCATCCATTCCATGAGGAAGTAACATAATAATACCCGATTGTGTAAGAAATTTTACTTCAAAAAAAAAGAATTTGTTTATCTTCTTCTTTTTGTTTTAATAATAATACTTACATTCACCACCACTGATATAAGTATCAATAATAATTTGTGCACCATTAAAAAAATCACCAAATTGTGCTTCCCAAATAACAAGATTTTTCGGATCATGAGCACTAAAACCATAATCAAAACCAAGTACAGCTTCTTCAGATAAAATACTGTTGCATATCTTTAAAAGAAATAATTTTATTTATTCAATGTTTTGTTTTTTTTAAAAATAAATAATGATTAGACATACTTCAAGAAAACCTTGTTTAGAATCTAAACCATTAAGTGGAATATAAACATCATCATCTTTTTGATTAACAAGCATTCCATGTCGTTGACTGAATGTACCTCGACCAACATCTTGACCACTAATACGAATATTAAAACCTAAGTCAAAATAAAAAATAATATTCGATTTCATTTATATAAATCAATAAATAAACCTTGAAGAAGTAATGAACCAAATGCTAATGCTTCAGCTGTTGACCAATCAAGACCAGTACCTGCTTCAATACGTTGTTGACGTTTTTGTACATGTGAACGTGCAATAGTTGTATGAACTTGCTATTAAATAAGAAATAATTTATTAAAAAAATAAAATAATAATATTATTACTTACAAATTGTTCTGGTACATCAACAGATTTAACACCAATATATTTAAGTAAATTTTCATTAAGACCAGTATTCCATTGAGTACGAGTTGATTTAGCTTGTATCATTCCAGACCATTGTTGTTGAAGATGAGGAGCCTAAATTAAAATTAATAACTATTATTGTTTTTTAAATAGAACACAGGTGAGTAGAATCCTTATAACTTTTTAATAGAAAGAACTGAAGAGCTGTAGTTTTCAACATTCAAAAGAGGACAGTCGAGGACACAGACCCATGTAAAACAGCAGTGGACAATAAATCGATCGGTGAGATAAATGCTTATTTCAAGCGGAAAAATGCTATCTAGGTCAAAAATGAATTTTCTTTCCATTCGGTTCATATAGGACGACTGTCATATACATATATGGGTATGTGTACACATTTCATTCCTCTATGACTACCATTCAGAAAAGAAATACGTGAGAAAACAACCCCTTTCATGCATACGAAAAATTACGTTATGTCATAGATCATATAATTTTCATCATTCCGGGAACAATCTACTGCATGCTATAAAGATGCTATATTCACTTGGAATAATTGATAATAACAGCGTCAATCTCTTAAGATACAGAAAAAATGCGTTGCTTCGAATCATTCTTCTTACCATGTTAAGCATTATTTCTGTTCATTTTCATTTCTCCTTCCCTATGAATGAAATCAATGTGAATCACCGCTATGTCGATGTTAACAAAACTACGACACGGAAATAAAAACTCTTTCATAAACATAACACGTCATTCAAAAAGCCGAAAATCCTCATGACATTGGAGAATATGATAGTTTACATTTTTCTATCTGATTTTCCCTATACTAATGTTAACTATTACAAAGAGTTTTCATTTTTACGCTGAATAACTATATATATATATATACGTATTCACATAATGTGGTCCTGTTGTGACCTTTGTTGGAGAAGCAATTTTACTTGGAGAGCAATATTCCGCTTAGAGTTAACATTTATGACACCGATCGAATCGTTGTATAACCTTCCGAGGTGATGTTTATTTTATGTTTAAACAATTTTATCTAACCGAAACTTTGATGACTCTGTCCAAGGGAAGTTGTAATGTAAATGTTTCAAAAAGTTAGAATTCCGCAATTGAAACACTGCTTCACTTTAATGATATTCTATATTGATAAGTTACTTGAAAAGAACTTGTAATCTTTTATTTATAAAAACATAACTTCTCAAAAAAATACAAAATCAATCTTTTAGAAAACACTACCATTCTTCTTTGTCTACGGTATCTGATTTGATACTTTTATCTTTTAATTCTGACTCAATTACTCGCTCTGCGTCTTCATCAGCATTTTGAAATATCTTTTCAACTTTTTGTACGTTATGAAAATAACTATCTTAAAGGTGTGTTTGGTTGACTGCAACGCCCAAACAATACATCCACACCCAATGTATTAAAAAAACTCAATATATTCATATTTCGTTTTCTTCCTTCATCGAACCACAAGGTGTGACAGTCACAAATGAAGACCGTTCAGCTAGCAAGAAAGGAACAATTGATTTTCAGATGATTTCTGGTTAAGCAACTTACAAAGCTGAACTGTTTATTTTTGAGTTAGCACATGTTCTAGCAAACAAAAAAACGAACAGTTGACCATCAAAATTTCGATTAGATAAAGTTGTCTAAACATAAAATAACTATCGCCTCGATGATCACCATGCTCAAAAACCTGTGAACCAAGATCTTTCTTCTTTTTCCTAGCGAGATTTTTTCTGTTCTATAGCTCCTAGAAAAATGTCTCTATCTCGAGAACGAAAAAACGATTAATACTTGGTTTTTGCGTCATTTGAAAGAGAACTGTTTATAGGTCTGAGCTGCCGAAAAAAAAACTAAAAGAAAGTTTTTTTTGGACAAGGTGCTCTGTTTTCCTAATTTTGCTTCTCTATAGTTAGCCTGGAAAAGCTTTCATTTTTACATGGATCTGTGCCCCCTCCCCCACTAGACCCCGTCGGGGCCAAGATTTTTTGACCCGAACCCGGACCCGGTCGCTTAAATGTTTTGGATCTAAGTACGATTATAAATCAGTTTCGATAATGTATTCAAAAAGTCTTTTGTTGCTTTTTTGTATATTTTCTAAATACACTTAATTTCTTTTCTTCGTGAAATGAACAAAATTTTGAAAAAATTCACAATACATTGTATGCATCAAAGTTTTCTTCAGATCTGGACCCAATCCGAACCCGGTCACAAAAAAGTTTCAGACCCGGAACCGGCCAAAACGAAATTTGTAGACCCGAACCCGAACCCGTACCCGAGCGGATCCTACCCGACGGGCTCTACCCCCCACTCTTACTGTTCCTTTTCGAATGCTGAAAATCACAGCTCTCCAGCTCTTTCTGTTAAAAAGTTAAAAGCATTCTACCCACCACCCATGTTCTATTTAAAAAATGATAATAGAATTTTATTTTATTTATTTTTTTTTTTTTTTTTGATTGAACTATAATTATTCTTTTACTTTTGGTTGATATTGATCAGCAATAGAAAATTGTTCTTCTAATGTATTTCGAAATGTTTGAATTTTTTTATTTAATTCTTCATTAGTATTTTGTTCTTGTTTATAATATTCTTGTACTTTTTTATACATTGATGGTTGTGTAAATGTTGGATCATCAAGTTCATTATGTCCATGTTTACGAAAACAAACAAGATCAATAACAATATCTTTACGAAATAGATCACGATATTCACATGCTAATTGAGTAGCTTGTGCAATTTCCTAATTTTAATATGATTTCAATAATAAATTTGATGACAACAAAAGAAAAGAGAAACGATAATTACCACTGGACATTGACCATTGACATGAATAACTGGACAATTAACAACTTTAGCAAAATCAGTACAATAACGTGAAGAACTTTTATAAGAAAAAAAGACATTGAATTTATATTATTTCGAATTCAATTTCTCATTTACCGTGCTAGATGTTGAGGTGTTGTATAACCAATTTGATTATTAGTAACAAGATGAATACTTCCACCAACTGAATAATTTGGTAAATGACTCAATTGAAATGTTTCAGGTATGATACCCTAAATAAACATTATTCATAAGTACAAACAAAAATTTTAGAAACGCAATATTTTTTAACCAAAACTAGTTTTCTAGATTCTATCAAAAACGTTTTTCAAACAAGTTCATCTAACAGTCAAAGTATTTTGATGTTCTTGAAAGTATATAACATAGTAAATTCATATAAATAAAAACAACAGAAAGCAGTCTTTTTGGACGGCTTATCGCACAATGATTGTCATTAGCTGTAAATAGGTTGTTAGAATTCGACGGTTTTAAAAATTATCCGTAACTGAAACCACTGAATTCTATAGGTCGTGTAGAGCTCGACGACATCCCAATGTTTCCTCTATCAGATAAACTTGCTTACAAAACAGTTTTGATAGAATTCAGAAAACTGGTTTTTGTTGTCTAAAGATTCTTCGATTTGTTTGACCAGTTACCATTAAGGATAAAAATCCTTCATTTCTGAACTCTTTGCCTTTATCTTGATATATAATTTTATACCTGTCCAGCGAAAGATGCATCACCATGTACTTGAATACAAAGTGCTTTATCACCATGTCGACCAACATTTTCTGTATCAGCATAATGACCATCTTTAAGAGATAATTGACATGCACGAGTTTTACCAACTGCAACTGGATTATTAGCCTTTTTTATTGTTAATTAAAAAAAACAAACCAATAAGATTAATATAAATAGATTGAAAGATTAAATTTACTTCTAAATGTGATGGATTAGGAATAAGTGAAACATGAAGTTTTTTTCCATCATAAGTTAAATCAGTAGATGTATCTAAATATATTATTGATTTAATGTAGATGATTATTAAAAATCAATAAATAATTTTACATAAATGAGAAAGAACATCACCAGTTGATTTTACATCTTTTGGAAATTCATGTTTGCCTTTTATTTTTCTAAACATTGTTGCTGCTGGATAATTAAGTAAACAAACAAGTAAATTATTTCGACCTCGATGTGGCATACAAACAATGACATTTTCAATGTTCACTATTATTTAGATAATTATTTTTTTTTGTGTTAGACAAGTTAAAGAAAAAAAAAAAAAAGTTATTTATTATTTTTAATAATAACATACATTGAACAGATTGTTTAAAAACTAAATCAAAAAATCCCATCATGCCTTCTGCTCCTTCACCACTATAACGTTTCAATGTTGGAAATTTTGCTTGAAGAAATTGATCAAATGTCTATGAATAATATTTAAAGAAAATATTAAAAAAAAACAAAAAAAGATGATCGATTTGTAATATTAACAAGATGACTATTCATTTTATCTTTATATGTCAATCAAATGATCTTCTTCTCATGGGAAATCATTACGATAATCAGAGATAGCAAAAGAAAAAAATGAACGTCTTCTTAGACAGAATAATATAAAATGAATAATCACTTATTATTATCAATAGAATTCAAGCAAAACTTCAAAAAAGAACCACAGATGTTATTCATATATATATCATTGTACCTCACATTTACGCATCTGTTCAGCAATTCTTTGTTGAATATCAGATGAAATTGTCGGTGATGTACGTAATTGTTCAAATCGACGAGCAATCCAAAGACGTTCAATATCATTCTAGATATTTTGCACATATATATATAGATAATCATATTTGTCTATTTGAACTTACTTCAATATATTCACATTCTAAACTTATTGATTGACAATAAATTTCATTGAGTTGTCTTATCCAATCATCTTTTGTTTTTGGTATTGATTGTTCTGTTGATAAACCAAATAATGAACGAGCATCATGTTCATTTTCAATATGAAAATTAACTGTAAATAAATTTTGATCTAATTCAGGAATTGATCTGAATAATTTTAATTCATTAAGTTTTCTTTCGTTTTTTTTTCGATTAATAAATAAATAGATTTTTTTTCTCACGTGTTTACATTGATTCCCAATGGATCGATTTTAGCTAGACGATGACCGTGCTTACGATAAGCATCAATGAGTAATGCCGCATGAGGATTAGCTTGACGAGCTTGATTGTAATCACCTACATATTGATAAAGAAATAAAATTTCATAATCAATATGACATTATGTATAAATATATATTCACGAAGAATTTTCTCTATTTCATTAGTATTTCCAATAGTTTTTAATTGTGCATTAAATCCAAATACTTTTGATTGATATTTATATGTTCTTATAAGATTATTTTGAATAGATGCTAATCGTCGTTGAACAATACGCAGATGCATCTGAAAACATAATGACAGATGTCAATAGGGGTGAGGATAGCTTATTTCTTTTTTCTTTCTCTAGATAAAACCATCTGCCATATTATTTTTCAATGACAAAACGTCTTCCTTCCACCATGGGTAGTGATTGTTCAATAAAGAAGAGGAAACAAAACAAAACAAAAAAAACAATAGAAAAGTCAATTAAAATGTGTTAAAGATTCATCGCACCAATCCGAATATGAACTCTTTTTTGTTTTGTTCAACATCATCAAAGATAAGAAGACAGTAATATTCATTTTAAAAATTTTTCCTGCGAAAGTAATTGTGAATGCATTCACCCGGCTGTGATATATGAGACAAAAAAAAAATTGACAATCCAATTCACTTCCGTCGGCATATGGTTAGATGATTGTCTTGACCAAAAACAGAAGAAAAAAAGAAAATGAAAGTTATGTTAATGAGAGAGAACGAGCAACTGGTACAAAATAAAAAAAAAAAAACAATCAAGCAAAATGAGACGGTATACAAACACAAGACAACAATGAAATGAAAACAAAAAAAAAAAAAAAGAAGAAGGCGTGGAGTGTGTTATGTGCTTTATCCTATACTATATGGACACTGTTCACGACAATATATGTCCAAATAATTTTTTTTTTTTTTCATTCATACCTGAGTAATTTAGAGTCATGTAAAAAGCAGAAAAAAAGAAAACAGAATTTTAATAAAAAAATACGATAGACTAGAGAAAGTAAACGAGTTTTTTTTAACGTTGATGAATATGTAAGATAAGTAAAAATGATAATAACATAGATGAAAATGATATTATCATTGAACTATTTGATGAAAGTGATCGTATTTGATTAACATCACGTACAATATTTATAATTCGTTTTCCTTTATCAATACCATTAACATTTAATTGTACACTAAAACCATCATTAAGTAATTGTTGATAATAATTTTCATCAGTTTTATTTCCTTGTCCATTAATTATTTTTGTTATTGGCATTGATATTAATTTATTTTTATTTAATGTAAGTATACTTTTATATTTTCCATATGATTCATTTTTAATATTAATTATTATACCACCATTATTATCAGATAATAATGGTTTTTTATCTGTTTGACGAAACCATATTAATGTTGGTTGTGGATTACCACTAAATGAACATTCAATAGTTGATTGATTTTTTTTTGGATCAATATATTGACTTTCATTACATTTAATAAAACGTGGTGCAAATAAAACTTCTAAAACTTTACTTGCTTGTTGTTCAGTATTACCTATTAGAAATCAAAAATATAAAAAAAAAAAAAAGAAAATTTATATCAAACCTTGTAAAACATTACAATATATTGTTGAATTATGCCAATCAGCTGTAGGTTTTATAGTTGCTTCCCAAGTAAATTTTTGTGGATATATATTATTATTTGATAATGAACTTTTTCCTTCATTTGTTATTTCTTGATGATTACGAAGAATTTTATGTCCAACATAAGGATAAAAATTTTCAACTTGACATCTTATTATTGTTTTTGTATCTTCATGTAATGGCCAACCAGGTTCAATAGACCATATTGGTGTAGATAATTTCATAACATCTAAATTTCGACTTTGACTTCCTAATGATTCTTCACAATCAGGACAATTACATTCATATTTAGCTGAATCTTCAGTTTGTAAACTTCGTATACGTATATGATTTTTACCTTCATAAAGATAACGTTTATTTTTATTATTTTTAAATACATCTGGTGAATCTGATGTTGGTGATATTAATAAATGACGTGATATTGCTGTATGTTTACCAGTTATTAAATCAACATACCATAATTGAGCAGAATCAGTACGTTCATTTGGATTAAGTATTTCACATTTAATTTCAATTTGTTGATGAATTGACATATATTTTTCATCAGGAATAAATGTTAATTTTATTGTTGGTCGAATTAATTTTACAGTTGGAATAAGAATTGTAATTATTAATATTGTTATCATATACATTCTTTAAATATTGAATCTAAATAAAAGTAAAAAATGGAATAATCTCAAGGTTTATTTTAAAAGAGTTTTTTATTTTATTTCCCTCAATCAATCAAATAAAGTAAATGCATTGTGTGAGAAGTGCATATTTGCATAAGTTTTTTTCTTCTCCTTCTTCTTCTTCTTTTTCTCATATTTGGAATTTTTTTTTTGTATCTATGGAAAATTTCATTAATTTTATTATTTCTAACAGGTATAATAAAAAAATGTCATATAAGGTTTTTTTGTATTATTTTTAGTATATCAAAAATTAAAAAATCTTTCATATAATAGAATAATAATAATAATAACAACACATACCAATTAGTTATTATGCTTATTGTTATTGTTTTATATTTAGTGTCTGTCGATTGTTTTTTTTTAATTCTACAGATTTATATTAAATTTTTTGCATATTGTAGTTGCTATTATTGTTATAGATAACAATAACTTTGAACTGTACTAAGCTTTTATCCTGTCTTGCTTTTGTTCTTCTTCCGACTTCCGTGTAAGTAGTTGAACGGCCAAATGATGGTGATCACGATAGAGAAAAAGAGAGACTATGCTCGTATCTTTTTCTCTCTCTCTCTCTCTCTTGCTCTCATTTTTTTTTCGGCTCTTTCTCTCTCTCTCTCTCTCTTTTTTATGCAATGTACGAATGAGAGTATGTGTGCATGTCTTCGGTCAAGTGCTTGTAGAAAAGGAATACTATCCCAACTAGAAAAGAAAGAAAAAAAAAAAAGAAGAAGAAGAAAGAATATTTCACCAGTCAATCCACTGGAAACATGTAGAGAATGGACACCTGCTTAAATTGAATTACTATGCAAAAACGGATATTTTCTTTCTATTCTATGTATGATGTGATTCCAGTTCAATAGGTCTGGAAAATCTCTTTACTTGCTTGATATGTACGAATAAAGAAAAGAGGAAAAAAAAAAATTCAAGGCTAAAAGCAGATAGTTTAACCGATGAACAAGAGAGTGAGCAAGAAAGAAAGAAAGAAAGAAAGAAGGAAAAACATTAGCACCACAAAACACATCGGACATCTCTCCTTTTTTAATTTCCTCATTTTATTCTTCTCATCATTAGAAAAAATGCATGCATGTGTCTATCTATTTTATTTTTCTATTCTAAATAAAGAAGATCCCATAGAGAGATCGCCTCATGAATGTTCAATATATATATATATATATATATATATATAGGCATTAGTCTAAAAAGAGAAAGAATACAAATGAATGTTCGAATGAATGGCATATGTGTCTATGTATATAAGTAAGACAGATGGCTTTGAAAATTAGTAAAATTGTAAATCCCTTTGGTCATCATTAGAATAATTCTTATGGCTGTATTAAATGAAAAAAACAATAAGGAAGCAGAACACCTGCTTAGAAATATACGTCATTCAGTTTTTTTTCTTATTGTAATACTCAGATATTATTACTATTATTTCATAATTTCCTTAATCAACTATTAATGGTCATTATTTCATTTGACCATATATATATATTAAGTGATGATTGTTGGCACCGGATGTGGGAACCACATTTAGTATCCATAATGCGCTAAATCGTAACAAAACATTAATAACCGAAATGATGATAACCCTGAATAGAACTCATAATTATTTTCTATGGTACTCATGGCCATTTACATGCCAAAGAAGCATAGCAAGTAGAAGAAAAAACGATTAATCGAAGATATACAAAGATCTATATATATATATATATACATATACAACAGGCGTAAGATAACAATTTGTCAGTCCTTTAAGGCAAAGTATTCCGTTAATCATCAGATGTTGTCATTGACTGTTCAATATTTTGATGTGAGTTACTATTTTGTATACACATTCTTTTGTGTCTACAAATCTCCTCCTCTTTCCTTTTTTTTTTTTGTGATTATTACATGATACAAATGATAATAGATGGCAAATGCAATGTGTGTCTAACATTTGAGGGGCGGAGTATCAGACAAAATACGATTGAATTTCTTTTTTTCGTTATTTCAGACACTAAGTATTAATTGTCATGTATTGATGTAATCTATGATGCAACAATAGTTGAATTCATTTATGTAGAAGAAATAACGGTGAAAGCAAAAATCCTTTTTTTTTTTTATTATTCTAATGAATAATTTAATCCAACGATGCGCAAACGTGCTGTCTTCTCAATGGTCTACATTTACTATGTAAATAATGAAAACAAAGAAGCAAGATATTTATGATGGAACAATGATGAGATCTTTTTTTTTTTCTTCGTCTTTAAGTTTAACAAATATGATAATCATGAAACTTGATATTTCACTGTTGTAATGATTTTCAAAAAAAAAAAAAAAAAAAACAAATCAATCACTATTATTCATTTATATGAAATGTTTGCAAACATTTCGTTAACAATAAATCACAACTATAGATATATAAATGATAGATGATGTTCTTAAATAAATAGAATATAAAATTAATTCTCAAGTCAAAAGTAAATTTCAATAATCTTTTTCTAATAAAAAGGTCATACGGATGTTTCATTCAAAATGACTGCTTGTCACAAATCATTATGAATAATGATTACATAATGTTAAGAATGTGTTAGGCTTACTGTCTTAATAAAAATCTTCATTTGAGTTTTTTTTTTCTCTCTCTCTCTCTATATATATATATATATATTTTCTTTGTTACATAGAATGCCCTATCCCTGAGCGGCAATGATGCCGATGATGATTATTCATTTTTTTTTGATTTAGAATACTGAATGGTCTCTTTCTCTGTTGAATATCATGCATGACATGTCACTGCCCCGTCGTTGTTGTCTCTCTTGCTCTCTGTCTTGTCATAGTAAAGCATGGATGCATAAGTTTATACTCAAGAGAAAACTATTTCTCATGAGAATTAGACGTGTGTATAGCAGACCATCACTATACTTAATCAATTGTAGAAGCCAAAGTAACACTATTGAAGTACATAGAAAATCGAATCACTAACTCAACTTTCAAGTAGACATCAATTGATATACTGTCGTATAGCAACGACATGTTCTTTTTTTTTTCTTCTTGTTAAGAAACGACATTGCTAGCTGTTAAGTGTCATGGCACCATTCATGTACTTGCTTTTATCTATGTTATCGTTAAGAACCCTTTAGGGGCCAAAAGTCGTTGACTAATCATATTGCATACTGATCTACTTCACATCTTGCCTGCCCTGAAACCAATCTCGGCCATGAAGGTGTACGTGTGAATACTATGTTAAATTTAATTGACGGAACTTGTGTTTTATGGCATGTTCCATTCATTTTAAAGTTAGGCATTAAAATATGTGTATAACTTTGTTTAATTCACTTTTTTTACTTTTCTAAATGTATGTAGAAGTAAAAGTGTATCATGCATGCTAACGGAATAAATTTGATTAAAAGATAAGAGATAAAACCTAAAAGACGATTCAAGGGCAAATACATCTTCTTCATATTAGGACAAGAGCACATCAAAAGCTATACTATGTAAGTATTAAGGAATTGTGTTAGGTTAAGAAAGAAAGTGATAGTAAACAAAAAAAAAATTCCTTACATATTCGGCATTCTCAAGGATGTTCATCAAATATATACATAACAACGGATAATTATATTTAGGAGATTTTTTTTTTCTATTTTCATCTGCTTACTAAAGAAATAAAAATAGAAATCAATCATATTGAAATTCGTTTTCACACATATATTCAATTAATCTAAACAAAATCAAGTACGAACTTATTTGAAATAATCAAGAGAAGTTGAATTACCATAAACAAATACATAAAACTCTCTTATGTATTAATTTTAACAGTAGATTTATGTAGATATTCATTAATTTTCTAATATATACAAATTTTTAGAATAGGAAAACAAATCTATCAATAGAGACTATGCATATTTATCAATGATCCGATCATTTCTTTTTTTTTTTCTCTGTATGTATGTCAATTATATGATCATTGATGTTTGTCATAAAAGTTAATTTATTATTCATATACAATGAAATAAAACAATAATTACAAGTAATAAGAAAGAATTGATAAGCTCTTGAAGTGAATAAAAAAGAAATGCATGATTATTAACTTTTATTCACATTTTATAATGATTTCACATAAATCATCTTAATGAAATAATCGATTTTTTTTGCTCGAGTATTCAATGGCAATCTAATCAATATGTCGTTCTATTTTTTTTTTACATACAATAAAATAAAACTGCTTTAGAATTTTCAGGTTCATTTATCTTATACTCTATGTAGTTAACCTTTCCTATTGACAATAGTACTGCCATTTACAACATTTCCTAGCAAAAAAAAAAGAAAAAAAGAAAAACGAACGAGAAAAAAAGTACAGTATAGTTTTGTTTAATTCTATGAATCAAAATTAATTCGAGGGAATATTTAAAACTTCTTATTGCATTTGAATTGTTTTATGGAATATAAAATTAATATACGACATAATATAAATGTCAATCATACAAATAATAATAATAATAAACAAGAACATTCTATCATAACTCGTTTTTTCATCGAGTAATCTTCTCAAATTTCTCAATCAACAACATATTGACAATAAATTGCCATTAAAGTATGCCTTAGGTACTTATTTTTACAAGGTCGATAAACAATACAATTGGAAATGGAATGTTATCTGTATAACATCAATCAAATATGTCGAAGATGTGTGGTCATTCTATATACACACACATATGGTCTACAGAATCTATCAAATGATTATAATAATATGCTTTTTAAAGTAATCTATGCAAAGGATATGATAAAATGAACATAATATTTTTTTGTTTCACATACTTGATAATTTACTTGGCATTTGTAGTTTAGAGGTTGTCTATCCATATGAATCATTTTTGTTCTCTGAAAGAAATAAAAGTGAGAAGATATGTCATTTAATAATGAAGAAAAATGAGTAATTACAAACGATTTTAATAAATGTCAATATCTTTCTTGATAACTATTGGCTC